CCTGGAATAGAAGCTGTGGCTGCCCCATCCCTGGAGGGGTTCAAGGGCAGGTTGGAGGGGGCTTGGAGCAACCTGGTGTGGTGGGAGGTGTCCCTGCCCAGGGCAGGGAGTTGGAACGAGATGATCATGAAGGTCCCTTCCAACCCATTCCATGATTCTGATTTCCACGCAGCCCAACTCACCTGAGGGAGCACTTTGGTTTGGGTGGCTGTAGCTGGAACGCGGATTTGAGGCACTGAGGTGGGTTGCTGTTGCTGGGTGACCACTGGGGCTTGCTGGGACACCGCTGGGAGGCTGGACTGGGCAGTGACCACCCGGACCTGGGGCAGGCCGGAGGAGGTGGTATGACTTACCACCCGGGGGGGAGGAGGTGGCTGAGGCCCCGGCTGTGCCTGTGAACTCTGGGCTGTGGAAAGCAAGGTCCCCAGCTGTGGCATGGTAGGGGAGGAGACCAGAAGAACACTAGGGAAAAGATAAAGCCAGCAGGTCAGCAAAGATGTAAGCAACGATTGAGAAAGAACCAGAAACATCCACAAGTGGTGCATGAGGCAAGTGGCAAGGGCAAGGTCCTGCACTTGGGCCACACCAACCCCCTGCAGCGCTACAGGCTGGGGGAAGTGTGGCTGGAGCTGCCTGGAGGAAAGAGACCTGGGGGTTCTAGTTGACAAAGGGCTGAATATGAGCCGGCGTGTGCCCAGGGGGGCAAGAAAGCCAATGGCATCCTGGCTTGTATCAAAAATAGTGTGACCAGCAGAAGTAGGGAGGTGATTGTGCCCCTGTACTCAGCACTGGGGAGGCCACACCTCGAGTGTTGTGTCCAGTTTTGGGCACCTCAATCCAAGAGAGATCTGGAGGTGCTGGAGCGAGTGCAGAGGAGGGCAACGAAACTAGTGAAGGGCCTGGAAAACAAATCATATGAAGAGCGGCTGAAGGAGCTGGGGCTGTTTAGTGTGAGGAAGAGGAGGCTGAGGGGAGACCTCATCACTCTCTACAACTTCGTGAAAGGACACTGTAGAGAGGTTGGTGCTGGTCTCTTCTCACAGGTAATTAGTGACAGAACGAGAGAGAATGGCTTAAAGCTCCAACAGGGCAGGTTTAGATTGAACATTAGGAAAGAATTTTGGAATTGGAACAGGCTGCCCAGGGAGGGGGTGGAGTCCCCATCCCTGGCTGTGTTTAAGGGCCGTTTAGATGCAGTGCTGAGGGACATGGTGTAGGGGAGGACTTTGTAGAGTAGGGGAGATGGTTGGACTCGATGATCCCAAGGGTCTCTTCCAACCTAGACCATTCTATGATTCTATGAGATGGAAGAAGTACCTTTGGCTGGGTTTTGCTGGCTCTGATCCAGCACTAGACACGCTCTTGCTAACCACAGAGACCGGCGGGGGCGAAATCGGCGTCGCTGGTAACGCCGGCGCGGTCGGTGTCACCGGAGTCACGGGAGTTGGTGGCATGCTGGAGTCACTGAGGCTCAGCTGGCTGGGCTCTGAGGTGCTGCTGGGGAGGGCTTTGACAGAGCTCTCCTTGCTACCAGACTTCTGCAAAGAAAGCCCATCAAGCGTGAAGGTCTTCACAAAAACTAGGGGTTTGGTCGCTACAGTCTAGAGAGCGGGCTGAGCACGTTAAGCTGAGTTGTGTGTGGTTATGAATGATGCCCTGGTGCTAAATCCTAAAATCCCAGCTGTCTGATTGCCTGCCTTCCTCAGCCTCAGCCACAAGTGGGCCCGTGCATTTGGCTGCTCCTGTTCTTGGGGAAAAGTGTATCTCTTTTCCCCAAGTACCAAACATTCCCAACATGCAGATTTCTACCTCGGTTAATCTGCCAACAGCAACTACTTCAGAGATATTTGATATCAATAACAAAAAAACATATTAGAAGCATCCAAACCCTGCCAGCTTCAGCACAGCGAGGGGGAGAGCAGAAGTTCCACCCACCCTGCTACAGATTAACCTGAAAACTAGACCTGAAAGCCCATCCCTAGGATAGATCCCAGATTCCATTGACCTTTCTGCTGAGATCAACAAGGATAACAGTGCAAGCTGGGAGGAGGAAAAAGTCCCTCTTTCCCTCTTTGTTTTGTGCACTGGTGCTAAACTAACACCCACGTTCACAAACATAATGAACTGGTAACTCAAATACATGGTAATTTTCATCATCTCTACAGATGCAGAATTGATGGATTAAATTAAACCCGTATCTCCTTCCCAATCCTAAAAGCACCTGTGCAAACTTGTGCAAAGGAATTTTACCATTTTAGCCGGAGGTTTTGGCTTCTGCTGAAGAGCTTTCTTGGCCTTTGCTGCAGCAGCTTGAGCCTGGTGGATCCGTTCTGCAAATACAAATGGTCAGAATTCCTGAACACAAGCAAACTGAGATTAAAAAAAAGGCCAATTCAGAACTGTAGGTTCATCCTCAGGCAAGAATTCAAACACACGTCGTCGTGTCATAGTGCAAAGAAAAAACACCACCTAAAATCAGCTAAAAAGGCTGAAAATAAAAATGTAAGAAGCTGTGAATGTCCATACCCCTCCCTGAAGTTCTTGTACACAGGATGCTATTTTTCTAATAAACACTTCAAAATGACACTCCGCTCTGCGGGGCAAACATTAGCAAACTGACTAGAGACTGCTAGAGATATTAGCAACTGACTAATCTACACTGATAAATGAATGTTCATTATCCAACTGGACTGAAAAAGTTCAAGAGTCTTGATTTACAAACATTTTCAATTCTTAAGGTATCCCCAAGCCAGGCTTACCAAACTCTTCCTCACTCCTGTCCCGGTGCAGGTAGATCCACAACTTGCGTCCGATATCGTATTTCACACAGGGATCCTTCTCATAATGCAATCGATCCAGAGCACCACTGACAACAGTATTCACCTGAAAAGTTCAGAATTCACAGAATTACACGACGTCCCCGTCGGAGGAGCCAAAGGTCATCAACAGAAAAGCAATCCTATTTGGCATAAAACCTGAGTAAGCTGCTAGAAAGTTCAGAATTCACAGAATTACAAGACGTCCCCGTTGGAGGAGCCAAAGGTCATGAATAGAAAAGCAATCCTATTTGGCATAAAACCTGAGTGAGCTGCTAGAAATCCATCTGAGTAAGAACTGCCCAAAGAGCAGATGTTGTAGCATGGGATGCTGTCTCCCACCTTGGATTAAGGAGTTTCCACCAAAGATGAGAGCTCTGAAAATTGAATGTTACCCGAGAGCAGATGTTGTAGCACGGGATGCTGTCTCCCACCTTGGATTAAGGAGTTTCCACCAAAGATGAGAGCTCTGAAAATTGAATGTTTCTGAATCTAAAATGCCAGCAGCTATATGACACCACGTTAATTCCATGTCTTTTCAAGGTGTTTGCTCACCATCCAGAGTTTGGGGCAGACCTGCAGCAGCTCACCAGAGCAGAGAACAGAGCTTTTGTATCAAAGCAGCATAAAAAAATGAGTCTGGGTCTGCACACTATATTTTTAGGAGCATCTGTTTGAGGCCAGATGTGACACCCAACTTACTTGAGCACTTGTGACATCGGGAGCCAGGAACTGGGAGTCTTTCAGCAGCTCACAGATTTCAGCACGAGTCCCTTCTCCGTTAGGAAGGCGAGCAGCAGCATCACGAACTGAAATACAACATCAGAGCTTAAACTTCCACCCGTAACTGTGTCCAGTTTTGGGCCCCCTACCATAAAAAAGACAGCGAGGAGCTGGAGCGGGCCCAGAGTAGAGCGACAAAGCTGGTGAGCGGTCTGGAGAGTAAGTCTTATGAGGAGAGGCTGAGGGTGCTTGGGTTATTCAGCCTGGAGAAGAGGAGGCTGAGGGGAGACCTTCTTGCTCTCTCCAACTCCCTGAAAGGAGGGGGTAGAGAGGTGGGGGTCGGTCTCTTTTCTCAAGTCACAGGCGACAGGACGAGAGGAAATGGCCTCAAGTTGCCCCAGGGGAGGTTCAGGCTGGATATGAGCAAAAGCTTTTTCCCTGAAAGGGTTCTCAGGCATTGGAATGGGCTGCCCAGGGAGGTGGTTGAGGCCCCATCCCTGGAGGTGTTCAAAAGCCGGGTTGATGTAGTGCTGGGAGGTCTGGTTTAGTGATGATGCTCCTTGTTTGTTGTGTGGGTGTCTATTTTTGTCAGTGAGGTTGACGGTTGGACAAGATGATCTTGAAGGTCCCTTCCAACCTAGAAGATTCTGGGATTCTGTAACGAGGTAGCTGTATTCCAGTATATTAGCAAGTATGTTTCTGAATGCCTCTCTTCTCCCTACTCCCACAGCACCTACTTCCTCACTACAATCTACCCTTTATGTCGTAGAATTTATTTCTTCTTTGCTTATGTCATCCCAGCCCGCCCACCTTTCCCCCTTATAATTTAGATTCCTGAAGTCACTGCTTGGAGGAGGATTCAGAAGAGTCATTTTTCTAATTTTAATAAATTTCTTGGTCATCACCTTACCGAGGGACAAGATGGTGACATAAGCTGGTCTGTCGGAGCGCAGGAGGGAATGCTCTCGGGCTTTGTTTAAGGAGGTTTCCTTGTCAAACACCCCCTTCACAGGCCCAACCACCGACTCGAAGCCATGCATACGGAAAGTGAAAGCTTTGTGGGGCTGGCTGTAACGGTAACGCTCCTGTATTTGGTAACAAAAGGACTTCATTTAGGAGAAAAGAGAGCAAAATCCTTAAACCTTGTGCTACGTTTATATTAGCACTTATGACAGTAAGTTATTCTCTAACAACAAGTTATTTTATTTAAGTTAAAGGCTCAAACACTGCTGTATAAACTTATTTTGGATCAAGACAAGCACAAACTACTTCAAGCAGAATACAAAGCCCCACCTAAGCAAAGTGTGCAGGTGCAATACCCTAGAGTCATGGTTAAGCAGCTGCACAGACTAGAGAGATGCCAAAGATACACCTTCTACCCAGCAAAACATCCTTTCCCCCAGTAACAAGAAGCCTTTTCTTCCTCTAATCTCCTCTAATCCTCTCATTCAGATGATTCTCTTCTTACCTGCTCCTGAAACACACGTTTCTCCTCCCCGGTGCTGGGCCGGACTACGTAGTCAGTCCTTCTGAAACAAAGGGCACCATCAGTTCTGAGCAACAACAACCCCACAACAAGCCCAGAGAACACCCCAAAGGATCAGTCACCTCACCCTTTCTGCAAATTCTTCTGAACAAACTCTGAAAGCATTTATGGTAATATAAATAAGGACCGTAGAGATCTCAAAACACGCTCTATGTACCACCTGAAGGTAAGCAAGGAGGCATTTATGGTAATATAAAGAAGGCCTGTAGAGATCTCAAAACATGCTCTATGTACCACCTGAAGGTAAGCAAGGACTGTAAATAACCTAATTACCAGGACACAGCTTGGGGAAAAATCAAGTGACACTGTGCAAAATCAGACTATCAAGTTCCCTCCTGCCCCACGATGTCAAATCTTTTTATTTTAAGCAGCCAGCTTAAAATAAAAAGGGGGGAAAAAAGGGACCTTGCTTTCCACAGAGGGGCAAGGACCAAACTTCACAGCATTACCATGCACTGCAGAAGCTTTCGAGCAGCATTAAATACTCACACTCTGGGAATTGGTGTGGCATCTGAGCTGTCTTCATTTTCCTATCGAAAAACAGAGAAATGTCAATGCTGGATATAACTCAGGCAGATCTGTGCTGCTCCAAGGTGATTTTTTTCTGACTCACTTTGAAAAAAGACTGGTCTTTGGTCTCCAACCAGAGCTGGAACAGTGCTGCCAATTCCTTCTCATGATCTTGGCAAGAACCTAGTCCAAGAAATCAGGAAAAATAAGAAAGAGAAGTCCTTTATTTGTTACGAAGCCAGTTGCTTGTACTTCCCAGTCATCTCCTACTCCCTTCCCACCCCTGTGCATCACCAGTCACAAGGCATTTTCCATACTTCACAGATGCTCTGATTTCAACACTTGAACACATCCAGGCTTAGGAAAGTGCTAAAACCTAATTATTCTCCCATGTTGGTACAAAGGATGGTGCTTCAGCTCTTGGCATAACAGGCAAGATACTGTTTGAGACACAGCTGCCAGGTATTTGCAGATGGTTCCTTTTGTATAATTAATAATTGCTCTGAATAATCATAGAATCATAGAATCATTCAGGTTGGAAGAGACCCTTGGGATCATGGAGTCCAACCATCTCCCCTACTCTACAAAGTCCTCTACAGAAGGGAACATACAAAGGTGTTCAGATAGATTTGAAGGGTGAGATAAACATGGTTAAGCCAGGAACATAAGGAAATAAAGCCCTTTGTTCATTTACTGTCTGTCTGCTGCTGCTACCAATGTCTTGTGAAAACCTAGAATGTAAAATACACCTTCCCTCAGCTAAAAGAAAAGGCCTAACCAACAAAATTAACAGCTCTGCTTGTCCTCTCTGGGCTGCAGCGAGCTAAAAAGTAAAAGTCCTGGAGAAAACAACCACCTTTTACTATAGTAGAAATCACAGAAAAGCACAAGGTACTCACCAAGCAGTTTCCACTGCTGAGTTTTTTCTTTGAATTCAACAAAAGGTGAGAAGCTGGAAGGAGCATCTACAATGCAAAACGTGCATGTCAGACATCATACAATGGTCCAACCACCAAAGCCCCACTGTTGTAATGCAAGCTGTTGAGTTGGACTCACAGTGACAGATAAAGCATTTTAAGCGATGACGTAAGCGCAATCTCTAAATTTATACTTGCCCAAAGGGAAGGTAAAGCATCTCGGAGTAACAGGGCCAGGACAAGAAAGGAACAGGACAGGATAACAAGCTTTTCAGGACAGGATAACAAGCTTTTCATCTACAGGCTGTCAGATGAGATCCTGTTCATGCTGTTGAGGCACCAGGAACTATTACTGTATGGCAACTACTCCTGGGCTGGCAGGAAGTGAACTCGGGATTTACAGTATTAAATTTACAGCATTACAGAGAATATTAAGTATCCAGGCTGCAAAGGCCACTACAATCCACGCCACCTCTCCCTTTCAAACTTTCTACTAAGAAAAAGAGAGCCACGGAATAATTTCTTTTGAAAGGAACATCTGAAGCTTGGCTGGTCCAAAGCTGGGCCAGCTTCATGTTTCCAGTGGATTGCTCAGGGCATCATCTAGTTTAGTTTTCATTGTCTCCACAATATCTTTGCACCAGGAAGAGATTAATTTCTTCCTGCTACAAACACCCTGCCTGAAGCACAGGATCTGAACCAGGAGGAACTGCCTGTCTAGAGGCAATTTCACACAACTTTTTCACACACTCAGGAACCAAGCTGGGTCTTATCTACTTATCTACATGCAAAACACCTCTACCACAATCAAGAAATGTCAGCCAGAAAGCCTGCCATAGAAACACTATCAACAATACAGTGATTTATTGAATTAGAAGTTGATTTGAGCTACAGCATAAACCAGAGCTGGTTAGAACTGAGGTACCAGCATCACCAGTATTTTTAACAGCCATTCTTACCTCTGCTGTCACCTGTCAAGTACTGCAAGGCAGGTAAAACCAGTTCAGACCAGTTAGGGGCAAAGGAAAACCAGTTATTTAGTGCACTGGCAGGAGAAGATTGCCAATCTAAAACTTTATCTTCAAGCTGAAGAGGAAAAAGAAATACTCAGTTAAGGATCTCACGCTTTAAACAATGGCTGTTTTAATAGAAAACAAAAGAGCTAAACGTATCCAGGGGACAAGATTTTTATGTAAATAAAAGAAACCACCTGACTTTTTCAATTCTTTCAGACAACTGACATAAAGTAGGGAAAAAACTACCCCACCATCTCTGCCCTTTGTATACAGAATATATCTAATTATGATCTAAAGAACAGGTCTGCTGCTGGAAAGACTTACAGATTCAACTGACTAAATCGATGAAGCACGTTCAAAACAGAATGCAGTGTGAAAACCAAAGGGTTTCCCTTCTTTAATATGCAATTTACACCTTAATATAATTTACAGCAGTGAGAAAAATCACTATTATAAAGCTATAAATCTCTCTATCACCTAATTTTGTTTTCTGCAAAGACTCCTAGATAAGTGGAGTCCTTACCACAGTGGTTCCTTACCACAGAGAGAGTAGCAGGTCCTTCCAGAAAGAGGATCTCCAAAAGAAGGAAAAAGAAGCTGGAAGATATTTCATTTATTCCAAGGCATGGCTTCATGTCTTCAAGAGGTCTTCAAACAAAAGAGAGCAAAGAGTAAGTTCCTGAGTAAATACTCACCTTCTTACACACAGGTGAACACCACACATTTCACACATCCCCAGCTGGACTAAACCAAAGCCTGCAAAAGCCCCACAAAAATCTGAGCTGCAACATTTGTTGTTCTCTCCATCCGTGCGAGGTGTTTGGGGCTCTTTGAAGCACTTACTCCTCTTTGACAGACGACAGAGGGATGGGGGAAGGATCCTGAGACATGGGTGGAATTCCATCTGCGAAAGAGTAAGTTCCCTGAGTAAATACTCACCTTCTGATACACAGGGGAACACCACACATTTCACACATCCCCAGCTGCACAAAACCAAAGCCTGCAAAAGCCCCACAAAAATCTGAGCTGCAACATCTGTTCTCTCTCCATCCATGTGAGGTATCTGGGGCTCTTTGAAGCACTTACTCCTCTTTGACAGACGACAGAGGGATGGGGGAAGGATCCTGAGACATTGGACTAAACCAAAGCCTGCAAAAGCCCCACAAAAATCTGAGCTGCAACATTTGTTGTTCTCTCCATCCGTGCGAGGTGTTTGGGGCTCTTTGAAGCACTTACTCCTCTTTGACAGACGACAGAGGGATGGGGGAAGGATCCTGAGACATGGGTGGAATTCCATCTGCGTTGCCCAGCGAGTCAGCCAAGTCCTCCACCTCGGATTTAATCATCTTCAGCTTTTTTTTCTTCTTATCTTCCTTTTCCTTCACCTTTTTCTTCAGGGTTGCGAGGTCGAATAAGGCTTTAGACATGATAAAAGGTAAGAAGACTTATAAACTTTCTCACTATATTTCATTTAAAATCATAAACCAACTACATATTTAAACCTATATTCAGAAATGTGGGTAGTGTACACTCATTCATCTCCAGTTCATTCCATCCTCCCAGTCATTTCCATGAATCTTTATTTTCTCCCTCAATGCACTGTGTTTTAATAGAAAATCTCTAGTTTTTAAAGCCAAGGTAGATGAAATTAGAAAGGTAAAGGTGCAGAAGCACTGTGTCCAAGCCACTGACCTGCTAAGGAACCTTTCCTGCCAGCATTTACTCGAGTCATGATGTCCTCAAGAGTCACGTCTGTTGTCACTAAATCAGGGTGGTCCTAGACAGAGGGAATGGGATAGAAATTAAAATTGGGGAAGGACAAAGTGTTCAGACTACAACAACAAGAGTACAGAAGATAACCAAGTACTGAAACGTCCCAAACTTATCCAAGAGTAGGTTATGAAGCCATTTAGTGAAATAAAAGTAGGGAAGTCTTCTAACCCTGAAATCCAAAATTCTGTCTCTCCAGAACACATCAATGAAATCACAAAAAAGGAGTTGCATACACACACTGACAATTAAATACAGCTTACAAAAAAGGGTTGGAGGGTGGTTGCACACAAAAAAAATAGCCATCACTTTGTCACCCAGAAATACCCTGAATTCTACGGCTAACAGGTAAAAGACTAATGAATAAAGTCCAATCCCACCCCCAAAGACTTCCTGCCATCTTACAGGTTGACGTTTTCGTTTCTCATGGTGCTTCCTCAACATCATCTTCAAATCACTTTCCCCAAGTTCTATCTTGTCTGCAACAAAAAAACATTGAGAGATTATTTGCACAGTTTTCTGTTATCGTTACTTTACAGACTTGTTCGAATGCCATTTGCATTTCCCTCTTTTAACAACCTCCAAATTTCAATAATTAAATTTTCTTTATTTGAATTTCATCATTTTAATCAACCAATTTCTTCCTTGGGTCATCAGGTTTCATTGCTGATGCAAGTATTAGAAGTGAAAAGATGCCAAGAACCAGCTGTGCTGCACGAAGGGTTTGCAGACAGTAACTTTAGGACAGGTTCTCTTGGCACAAACACCAAAATAAAAATATTTGGTAATATTTTGGTACAACTGGACTTTGCTAACACCTCAAGCGTTAAAGGCAAAATAAAACAGAGAGAGCAGTAGTTTTATACCAACTGCAGACCCTCGTGTTAAAATACTAAGCTTGCAAGGAGAAAAGATTAAATAAATTGGGAGAAGAGCCAATTGGTTTGGAAACGGGAAAAATGAAGAACTAGAGTATTTCCCATCAAACAACAGGTTTTCATACTGATTTCTTGCAGGGTCTCAGAGTAATTGTCACCCCTAAATCCATACTGACCCCTACTTTGGTTCTCACCTGCTGTTTTCATGTCCGAGGTTGACAACGTGGGGATTACTCTCAGGGGAACAGGTGGGCTTGGACAACGTGCTGGAGAACTTGGAGGCCAGGAGCTTAGATCTAAAATAAAGAAATAAATACATTTATTTCTGCAAGACCAAGCACTGATCTACATAATTATATTCCCCTGTGCTTGTTAAGAGCATAGCCAATAAAACTGGAGTCCAGTTTCTATTCTTCTATTAAAGATGTGCTGCCATCCAGGAGCACAGCCAGTAAAACTGGAGTCTAGTTTCCATTCTTCTATTAAAGATGTGCTGCCATCCAGAGAGACCTGGGCAGAGAGGAACCTGATGAAATTCAACAAGGGTGGGTCCTGCCCCTGGGGAGGAATAACCCCCTGCACCAGGACAGGCTGGGGGTGACCTGCTGGAGAGCAGCTCTGAGGAGAAAGACCTGGGAGTCCTGGTGGACAACAGGATGCCCAGGAGCCAGCAATGGGCCCTGGTGGCCAAGAAGGCCAAGAGCATCCTGGGGGGCATCAGGAAGAGAGTGAGCAGCAGGTGGAGGGAGGTCATCCTGCCCCTCTGCTCTGCCCTGGGGAGGCCCCAGCTGGAGCACTGGGACCAGTTCTGGGCTCCCCAGTTCCAGAAGGACAGGGAACTGCTGGAGAGGGGACAGCAGAGGGCTACAGAGATGATGAGGGGCCTGGAGTATGTCTCTTTGAGGAAAGGTTGAGGGACTTGGGTCTTTTGAGGAAAGGTTGAGGGACTTAGGTCTTTGGAGAAGAGAAGACTGAGGGGGGACCTGATCAACCCCTATAAATACTTCAAGGGTGGGTGTCAGGAGGATGGGGCCAGGCTTTTTTCAGTGGTGCCCAGGGACAGGACAAGAGGAAATGGGCACAAACTTGAACATAAGAAGTTCCACCTAAACATGAGGAGGAACTTCTTTGCTGTGAGGGTGGCAGAGCCCTGGCAGAGGCTGCCCAGGGAGGTGGTGGAGTCTCCTTCTCTGGAGACATCCAAAGTCCCCCTGGACACGTTCCTGTGGGACCTGCTCTGGGTGGCCCTGCTCTGGCAGGGGGTTGGACTGGATGATCTCCAGAGGTCCCTTCCAACCCCGTATCATTCTGTGACTCTGTGCTACCATCCTCATGTTGAAAATTCGTCTCTCTCCATCCACACCTCGAGTCCTTAGTTGAGTCTGGGGCATTACCTTCTTCATCAGAAGACAAGGTGGTATCTCCACACTCCTCTTTCACTTCCCTCAGAATCTTCAAGTAGCGCCGATGTGTCCGTCTGTCTCGCTCTTCTGTGTCATACGTGGGTGGGAAGTGCCTTCTCCTGAGGGTCATGTCCGGGCCCCCCTTCCGAGCTAAATCCAGCAAGTGCTGGAAGAAGAGCCAGATGTGACATCAGCCATCTCAGCTACAGCTCTCAACAGCTAAGCTTAACTCACACACGTTCAGCAAGTTTAATGTTTGGGGCTGGTGCAATAAGCACCTCAGTTCTTATAAAGTAACCCTTACAAAGTATCAGAATCTGCCATATATGCAATTTTAAAACCAGTGGTTTTTAGGTGAAGTTGGGGGAGAGCAAGGAGGGCTCCAATAAGAAATTTCTGCACCTTTACCTCCACGTATTTTTTAGATAAACATGTGAAGTTGGGGGAAAGCAAGGAGGGCTCCAGTAAGAAATTTCTGCACCTTTACCTCCACGTACAAGACCTCACTGTCATTTTATGTGGACTGTTGAGAGGAGCCTCACCATTGATCTGGGATTGATTTGCGGAGTTTCCATGCCAAATACGTAACACCAACATGGAAAAAAGTCTTTTTTGAAGAAAACAATTTACCCCTTAGGGCTACAGAGGAAACAACTTCCTACATACTTCCATATTCTTTTTCCCTTATCACTGCAAGGGGTTTTATAAAGACAGACATTCACCTTCATCCATACATCCTGTATGTTTCAATGATTAGAAATAAACGAGCAACTACAATGAAGACGTTTCAGTTGGCAGCAATTAGCTGATGATAGCAATTAGCTGATGACAGCATCCATAAAGGAAGACTTCATCAGGGATCTACAGGCATCAGAACCAGAGTTTTGCATCTATTCTATACAAGTTCCCAGTGAATCTAGGGAATTCATACAGCTACATATTCAGAAGTGGCAAAAAATTAAGGCAAACTGACTTGTAAATAGGACACTAAAGTGTAAAGAGGTAAACGCAGGAATCAGGGGGCAAGGTGGACGTGGAAAAAAAACACAAGTGAGAGCTAGGAGAGTTGCAATTAGAAAACATAACAATGTTTCTAGTGTTCTCATATCATAGGGGCCACTGGAAAGCCAGAAACGCAGCATTTGTTAAAAGAAAGACCTCTGAGAACTGCGAATGCACAAATACCAAGACCTTTTGTTGTAAAGACAAACTGTTCCTTACAGGACACAAGAAGACACTCACGTTTCGGGAAGCAAGGATCTGCTTGAGCAGTCGGTAGAAGTACTGCTGCCGTAAAGAAGTAAATTCAGGAAGCAGGGGGCAAGGTGGACGTGGAAAAAATACACAAGTGAGAGCTATGAGAGTTGCAATTAGAAAACATAACAAGTGTGTTCTAGTGTTCTCATATCACAGGGGCCACTGGAAACCCAGAAACGCAGCATTTGTTAAAAGAAAGACCTCTGAGAACTGCGAATGCACAAATACCAAGACCTTTTGTTGTAAAGACAAACTGTTCCTTACAGGACACAAGAAGACACTCACGTTTCGGGAAGCAAGGATCTGCTTGAGCAGTCGGTAGAAGTACTGCTGCTGAGAGCTCAGGTACCGCTTGTACTGGGACTTAAAACACAGCTGCCTGTATTTGACAACCTCAGGATTAAAGTGTCCATCTGTAAGAAAGAGGTAAAAATCACCAGAGTTCTCATTAACCACTAGTTGAGAGTTTAACCCCAAAAATACACAGAAGTTTATTATGCTCACTGACCTCGGAAGAGTTTCTGGGCGATGTGGAGTGGATTTCCGAAGCGGAAGTTTTCGCCGCTGAACAGGGCAGAGATGAGTTTGTTCTGATGCTCTCGGTTGTTTTCGGGGAAGTGAGGCAGGAATTTTTTCAGGTGGTCCTGCTGCGCGTCCGTCAGCACCTCCTGCCACGTGGACAAGCTGACGACTTCGAAGAAGATCTCGGGCTGAAGAAAGGGAAAAATAACGGTGAAGAAAACGCGATCCGTGGCTTTAATTTTCAAGCCCTTAAAGTCTTCTGTGGTTAAATGACACAAGACAGGAGACTGTCTCACACCAAATGCAGAAAACAATGGGACAGAGAGAGGAAAGGTAAAGGAAATTAACGATGCTACTAAAAAACTTGCAACAAACAATAATTTTAATATACGAGTGATTGTTAACCCTTCTTTGGAGATTTTCAAGCCCCGCCTGGATGCTCCTGAGTAACATGCTCTGACAAGCTCTGGGTGGTCCTGCTTCAGCAGGGGAGTTGGACTAGATGATCTCTATGGTCCCTTCCAACTCTAAAATTCAGTGAAATTCAGTGAAATGACACAAGACAGGAGACTGTCTCACGCCAAATGCAGAAAACAATGGGACAGAGAGAGGAAAGGTAAAGGAAATTAACGATCCTACTAACAAGAAGGAAAAAAATTCAAAACTTGCAATGAACAAAACTTTCTTAAAGGTAATTAGAGTAACTGTTAACCCTTCTTTGGAGATTTTCAAGCCCTGCCTGGATGCAGTCCTGAGTAACATGCTCTGACAAGCTCTAGGCAATCCTGCTTCAGCAGGGGAGTTGGACTAGATGATCTCTATGGTCCCTTCCAACTCTAAAAAATTCAGTGAAAGATTATGTAGAAAATGAACACAACAATATAGTTTTAAAAGACGTTTTCCTCAGATTAATCAAAACCCCGTTCAACAGCTTTTCCAGGACAGTCAGAAACACCCCCCCCTGTTGTCAGTTTGCCCTGAAAGCCCCACAAAGGGAGTTAAACACATCCGTTTATCAAGGCTTAGGGAAAGGTAAAGCATCTTAGCACTACTAGAGCAACCTGCTCTAGTGGGAGGTGTCCCTGCCCAGAGCAGGGGAGCTGGAACTAGATGATCTTTGAGGTCCCTTCCAACCCAAACCATTCTATGATTCTACTCACGTCCTCCAGCAGGTCCTCGGGCAGGCTGACCCTGGTGGTGCCCAACATGCAGTCCTCCATGATGCCGTGAGGGCCATTCCCTTCCCCGCACGGCCCCAGCTCCAGGGGGTCTGTCAGCATGTGGTCCAGAGAGTCCATCCTTCACCCTCTCCCGCTCCTGAACGATGGCAGAAAACCCCTCAATAACCCCAAATCCCCAAACCCAGGCACGTCCCCAGCCCAGGAATGGCTGAGAAACCTGAGGGGGTTCCAGTGGAAAAGTCCCTGCTCATCCCGCAGAGATCGGACCAGTTGACCTTTAAAGGTCCTTCCCAACTCAAACCACTCTATGACTCGATGAAGCTGTCGCTTAAGCTTAAACTACAGACTCCGGCCACGAAACATGTAAAATGTTACAGTATTAACTTGCTGCTGGGTTGCAACCCAGCGCAACGCTTTGCCAGACAGGGAGTACCATGCCCCGCCACAGACAGTGACACATTTCCCTTTGCTTCCCTATAAATACCACGAAAAAACTGCAGTTAAATCCTGAAAGTTGGGCTTTAAGGTGCAAAAACCCCAACGCCGGGGGGGTCTGAGGGGAGATTTCCCTCAGGGGAAAGAGATTTCCCCCAGCTACGACTGGGCCAAGGGGCCCCGCACCCCTCCTCAACTGCGAGGAAAAACCCCACGAACCGCGCTGGAATAAAGCGACAGAAAAATAAAATAAGCTTTTAAAACAGCGTTGGGAAGTAAGAAAACACGGGAGGTGAGGAAAAAAACAAACCACAGCGCGTTTCATACCCGCTACGCTGGCTCTGGGCGGGACACCGGCGTCTCCCCGCTGCTGGAGGTGAAGGCAGCTCCCTCCTCGGGGGATCGGGGGAGAGTCCCCCCCTCAGCCCCGGGAGGGTCTCCCTCAGGCCGGGCCGGTCGCCTCAGCCCCGGTGGCGACCGTTGGGCCGCGGGGGCGGGAAGCCCCCGCACGCGGCCCGCACCGGAAGGCGGAAGGTGGCGGCTGCGCGTTGGGGCCGGGGCCGGGCCGCGCCGCGCACGCGCCGTGACCCCTGAGGGAGGAGGCGGCGGCGGCGGCCGCCATTACCCGCCCTCAGGAAACACAAACCCCTCAGGAGACCGGGCCCACCTCTTTTACACCCCTTTTTACTCCCCCACCCCCGCGTCCCATTCACAAAAACACCAGTGTCCTGTATAAATTTTTTTTTTTTTTTAAAAAAAGAAAAAGATTTATTAATTTCCGGGTTGGTTTTTTTTTTTGCTTGTTTTTTTTTCTTTTTTTTTTACACCTGCCAGGTTGCACAAGACTATGAACACAATAACAGTCACCGAATGTACAACAAACATACACAGTTAAATAAGAGAAGGGGCAGAGCAGGCTGAGAGGTGCAAAACGGAGGGTTGCTTGGGGTTTGGTGGTTGCGTTTTGTTTTTTTTTCTCTCCAGGAAAATCCAGAATCGGACCCAAAAACACCTACAAGGAACAACATTAGTCCGTCTTTGAGCAAAACGTGGCCCTTCACTCCAGAGTTAAGCTCCTGTGGGATGTGACTTCAGGTAGATCTTTGGGTTGCTCTGGGTCCAAAATAACAATTATGTATTTCATACCTTCTGCACTGCAGAAATTGGAAGAAAAAAAAAATCCATGTGAACTCGTTTTTTGTCTTTTTTTTTTTCCTGTCACGGTTCTAAAAGCAGGCCCCCGCCATCTGTGCTATGGCTGTAGTTCCTTACTACAGGGAAGGCAAATTCATGATATTTCCACTTTCCAGGAACATTTCTCTCATATTTATTGAGCTTGGGACATGGAGAATCACTGAACGTAGGACTGAGACAGTAGAATCTTTGATAAGGAAGATCTGAGTTCAAAGTGGCTGTTTTTAAATTGTTTTCTGGAGCATCTTGCAGTTCTCGTCTTTAAATAACTAGTACCAGCATCCTCACTCTGTGAGCCTTTCCAACAAAGCTGAAGAGAGCAAAGTATTTTTTAAAACCCACTTCTGCAGTATCATTAAGGGCAAAAAAAAAGCTCATCTATAAAGACTACAGACATTTTAAGACTTTAAAATTGCTCCTGTAGCGCAGTATCCACCTGGAATATCCCATTTCCTATTGCTCATACCGGTTTTGGTTTTTTTTTTGACTCATTATTAAATCATCTACCAGCCCGAGGAAAGCCAAGACAAAAAAACCTGCCTTCTCTTCTCCCACACCAACATCATCATAACGCCCAGCGTCCTAGTTCCCAAGCCTTCAGCCACACAGCTCCAAATTAATTAGTGGGAATTGTGGACTCCTGGCCACGCTGCTGAAGTCCACAGGCTCCTAAATCTGCTGAATTTAAAAGACACTCATCACCACACTTGACTAAATGGAAGCTCTGGTCCTCATTAACTTCACCCATCTCGTTAGCGCCCTGGTACAGTGGTATGGCAAGAGAAGCAAAATCCCAGGAACAAATTAATCCATATTTTGGCAAGTCACATCAAAGCTACCCAGGTATTTTCCATGTGATTTATCTCATCACACATGGTCACCATTTCCACACTGTATTAATGTGTATGTTAATTACCAAAGCAATACCTGCTTAGCCCACAAGGAACCCGACATTTCCTTGGTGAAGTTCTCTCACGTCTAAGAGAAACCACAACCTGTGAACATCCACAGTGCTCACTCACACGGGGAATTCTCACCTAAATCTGTGAGATATTCGTGCAAAAGCACAAGTCCCACATTCCACCTCAGTGCAACACGAGAGAAAACTCATCAAAAAAAAATCTCTCTCAGTTCTTCAGTCTCAAGGGCCATGAAGACAAAACATCCTTCTTTGCTTTTGTTTTATAAATAAATATATCCTATTAATGCACAGATATTGTGGGATGGGTTTTTGGGAGGGAATGGAGGTTTAAACATACATGGTATATCCCACCAGGAGACAGTGGAGTTGTTATCGTGGTCTTGCAAATACCAGAAGGCATTCAATTACCAACCAATAAGACCTGTGAAGAAGAATTATCTAAGGAAAAAAAAATATTACACTGCCTTAGAAAATAAACCTTCTCTTTCCCTTTCTCCTGGTCCCTAAATGTAACATGGATTCTGTACACAGACCAGGTCTACCAACCCTCCCAGATGGCTCTAACATGGTCCACTAACATGTTTCTTCTCTGTTTCCTGAGCCCAGGGCTGGTCATTTTATGGACCTGTCCAAAGGAATGACAGCACATAGTTAGGGAAAAAAAAGAAAATTGGAGGAACCAACTCTCCATCCAGTCTTCAAGGGAAAAAAAATACGTCCACTTTGAGGTGGCACCAGAGATGACTACCCTGCTCCTCTACTCTCATTTTCTCCTGGCACGACTACCTTTAGGTCACAGCAAAAGCTGCTTTTTGCAGGCTAAACTCAGCCTTTTTTTTGTTTGTTTACAGGCAAAAAAGGCAATTTTCCCTGCAAATGCTGAAGGGGAAAATAAAAAAAAATAAAAAAAAAAAGGAGCTAAGAGTGGCTCTGTCCTACCCCCTTTACATACTGTGATTCCCATCGGTTTGTTCCGCACGAGGCGGGTTTAAGACTGCACTTTTCCTTCTTCCTGGCACTGCCCGGTAAAGTAGGGCAGGGCAGGCGGCGTGTAAACAGTTCTGGAGGGTTGGAAAAATAAGATTAACAATAATAATAATAATTTAATGGACTGCTTTCGGCACATCTTCACAGCTTCATTGTTACATCCGTCCCCCGCAAACGTACGCGAGGAGCTGCCGGTTTTACTGCTGCTGCTGCTCTTTTTCTCCAGGCAGTCTGCTGGGGGTGAGCTGGCACCTTCCCTTTCCCCTTGGCTGCTGAAATAAAGACACAGGGGTTCAGTTCTGCCATATTCTGGCAATTTAACACCTGTCCTCCTATTAAAAATATACATACAACAACCTGCCGGTTAACCTGCAGTTAGGCAAGCTTTTCCCCATACAATTGAAATATAAAGTTGTTTACTGGAGACACTTCCAAAAAGGGAAAAAAAAAAAAAAAAAGGGTCAGCAGACATGCCAAAAATAAAGTCTAGAGCAAGCAGAGGTTTCACTTCTCCTCTTGTCCTTTTTTTTTGTTAAAAGCTGCATAAAATAGCATCCCAGAAGGATTTTGGAGGGCGGGTTCTTCACAGTCACCGGGGACTTAAACCCTCTTAAAGCATTAATGAGCTCCAAGATTTTAGTTGAAGGGAGGGTGGACTTTTAAAACAGATTGAGCTCCGTGTGTCTGGGCGTTGGGGGGAGGTGACAAGTAGAAGCAAAGTGGCACCTCGAGGCCATTTCTCACTCGTGTTCTGCTGAGAAAGTCCTGGGTTTGGCGATGTGCACCTCGCTGCCGCCGCTGCCGTTGGTGGTGGTGGTGATGATGTACTGGGTGGTGGGCTGCTGGCTACTGGTTTGGGATTCCAAGGAATCCGTGTGGGCCTGGGGTTGGGAAACACCAACCTGCACCTCGCTGGGGAGGGAAGAGTTCTGTTTGACATCCAGGTCGGGCTGACCTTCAGATATCACGTAGTGAGTCTGCATGGGGAATACAGAAAAGCAAAGAATCATTGTTGTATCTTCACCTTGAGTACTGTGTCCAGTTTTGGGCCCCCTACCATAAAAAAGACATTGAGGGGCTGGAGCGGGGCCAGAGAAGGGCAACAAAGCTGGTGAGGGGTCTGGAGAATAAGTCTTATGAGGAGAGGCTGAGGGAGCTGGGGGGGTTCAGCCTGGAGAAGAGGAGGCTGAGGGGAGACCTTCTTGCTCTCTCCAACTCCCTGAAAGGAGGGTGTAGAGAGGTGGGGGTCGGTCTCTTTTCTCAAGTCCCAGGCGACAGGACAAGAGGAAATGGCCTCAAGTTGCGCCAGGGGAGGTTCAGGCTGGATATTAGGAACAATTTTTTCACTGAAAGGGTTCTCAGGCATTGGAATGGGCTGCCCAGGGAGGTGGTTGAGGCCCCATCCCTGGAGGTGTTCAAAAGCCGGGTTGATGTAGTGCTGGGAGGTCTGGTTTAGTGATGATGCTCCTTGTTTGTTGTGTGGGTGTCTATTTTTGTCAGTCAGGTTGACGGTTGGACAAGATGATCTTTAAGGTCCCTTCCAACCTAGAAGATTCTGTGATTCTGTAAATTCTCTGTTTTAATAGTCTGGAACTTTCCTGGTGCTGTGCTGGAGGAGATTTTTGGAATGAACAAGGAGTTTTGAAATTTAGTTATATTTCCTTTAAATGCATTTGAGAGCAACATAACCCTTTTGGCCTTTGTTTTGAATCACGTTGGGCTACTTAGGATTTGGCCAACTTACAAATGGGTAAACCAATTACACAACCCATTGCTGCAAATCAAAATAGTGATTTTTAATACAGCTATCCTGAAAGGTTTTTTTTCCTGTTTTCCCTGTGTTCTAGCAGAAGTTGTATTTCCAACATCCAATATCAATGCAGTACAATGACCTGCCTCTTACACCATTACACCATTATTCTCTGTGCCTCACTCATCACTTTGGCACTCCTTTAACCTTCAAACTGAAGGCTTTTTGCCCGATTTTGTTATTCTGGATGATTTGTTTTCCTTACCTGAGTAACTGCTTTCACTTGCCCGGTGTTGACGGTGGTGACGGGCGTACCCACAGCCGTCTCTGTGATCACGTACTGGCCTTGGGGAATGGTCATCATCTGAATCTCAGACGCTAAAAAAAATGGAAATTGGAGAATCAGGACCTTCAGACCAACTCCAAGACCACCCTGGAATATAATCTCTTACGTCAGTAAGATTTCAAGCCCGAAACAGTGTTTTTTTGAATAGAAATCCAGGTATTGCAAAGCCTTGTGAAACCCTGCAGCTGATGTTGGCCAGCATAATTCTGTAGATTTGGCAATTCATGCCAAAACACCACCCAAGAAATGACAGAATCACCATCCAGACCTGCATGGAGGGGAGAAATCATTTTGTGTCAACCCTCATCTTCTGGATGATTCTTTCCAGCATCCACCCAAATTTGAACAACGGAATTCCAGCCACTTTGCTGAATCCAAGCTCCTTGAACAGAATTCCAGCCACTGAAATTCAGCTGAATCCAAGCTCCTCAGAATAAAGGAGCCCAGTTTGCCTGCCCAAACCACATGATCATGGACCTACAGCACAGAAGGTCGCACAGCCATTTTCATTCCTCTCAAACTGTTTATCTTCTTCGACCTCTATGAATATTCATCACGGAGCTTAATGAGCTCTGAAAAAACCATCATCCCTCTGGAGCACATGCTAGCCCCAGACACTCACAGTAGCTCCGGAATGAGTTCCAGGTGCTGGGGAGATAGGTGTGCTGCACGGAAGAGCCCTGCTGCTGCTGCAGGGCTGGGTTTGGCGTCGCTGGCGTCGTCTGCATCTGCGAGGGGCTCAGCTCCTGCTGAGACTGTTGGGAGGAAGGACTCAAAGGCTGACCCCCAACCTAGAAAAAAAAAGAAAAAAAGAGATCTAAGTGTTCTCAGTGCACTAAGGATTGCTGATCTCTGGACTGTTACAAATAATACCCTTCTTAAGGGAAAACATGGGGGTAGGCAGCGGGATTGAGCGCTCCCTCAGCAAGCTTGCTGATGACACCAAGCTGTGGGGTGCAGTCAACACACAGGAGGGAGGGGATGCCATCCAGAGGGACCTGGACAGGCTGGACCCAACCTAGAAAAAAAAAGAAAAAAAGAGATATAAGTGTTCTCAGTGCACTAAGATTGCTGATCTCTGCACTGTTACAAATAATATGGGGGTAGGCAGCAGGATTGAGCGCTCCCTCAGCAAGTTTGCTGATGACACCAACAGGTGCTGGGGAGATAGGTGTGCTGCACGGAAGAGCCCTGCTGCTGCTGCAGGGCTGGGTTTGGCGTCGCTGGCGTCGTCTGCATCTGCGAGGGGCTCAGCTCCTGCTGAGACTGTTGGGAGGAAGGACTCAAAGGCTGACCCCCAACCTAGAAAAAAAAAGAAAAAAAGAGATCTAAGTGTTCTCAGTGCACTAAGGATTGCTGATCTCTGGACTGTTACAAATAATACCCTTCTTAAGGGAAAACATGGGGGTAGGCAGCGGGATTGAGCGCTCCCTCAGCAAGCTTGCTGATGACACCAAGCTGTGGGGTGCAGTCAACACACAGGAGGGAGGGGATGCCATCCAGAGGGACCTGGACAGGCTGGAGAGGTGGGACCATGAGAACCTCGTGAAGTTCAACCAGGCCAAGTGCAAGGTCCTGCTCCTGGGACAGGACAATCCCAGGGACAAAGACAGATTGGGTGGAGAATCATAGAATGGTTTGGATTGGAAGGGACCTCAAAGATCATTGAGTTCAAACCCCCCTGCCCTGGGCAGGGACACCTCCCACTAGAGCAGGTTGCTCAAGGTCACATCCAGCCTGGCCTTGAACACTTCCAGGGATGGGGCATCCACAACTTCCCTGGGCAACCTGTTCCAGTGTCTCACCACTGCTGGAGAGCAGCCCTGAAGAGAAGACTTGGGGGTGTTGGTGGATGAGAAGCTCAACATGAGCCAGCAACATGTGCTGGCAGCCCAGAAAGTCAACTGTATCCTGGGCTGCATCAAAAGTGTGGCCAGATAGGCAAGGAGAAGGGGATTCTACCCCTCTGCTCTGCTCTGAGGAGACCCCACCTGGAGTGTTGTGTTCAGCTTTGGAGTCCTCAGCACAGGAAGGACATAGAGCTGTTGGAGTGGGGCCAGAGGAGATGCTGCTGCAAGGGCTGGAGCCCCTCTGCTGGGAGGACAGGATGAGAGAGTGGGGGGGGTTCAGCCTGGAGAAGAGAAGCCTCCGGTGAGACTTTTTATTTCTTCCCTCAAGGGGCTCCAGGAGAGATGGGGAGGGACTCTGGGTCAGGGAGGGGAGCCCTAGGAGGAGGGGGAAGGGTTTGACGCTGAAACAGGGGAGATGGAGATGAGATGTGGGGAAGAACTTCTTTGGTGTGAAGGTGGGGAGAGCCTGGCCCAGGTTGCCCCAAGAAGCTGTGGCTGCCCCATCCCTGGAGGGGTTCAAGGGCAGGTTGGAGGGGGCTTGGAGCAACCTGGGCTGGTGGGAGGTGTCCCTGCCCAGGGCAGGGGGGTGGAACAAGATGATCTTTAAGGTCTCTTCCAACGACAACCATTCTATGTTTCTATAGCACATCGAGCACAAGACCTGCAGAGTTCTCCGGCTCCTCCAACTTGCCTTACTCCATAGTTAGTAAGCAGAGATGGGGAAACTGAAATGGTTTCTTGCTAAATGTTATGTAGTGAGTCAGTGGCAGAGAATGGAGATGAGAGGCTAAACACCACCCAAGAGCACGAAAAGCTGATCTTCAAGCATTTGAGAAGCCAGTTTCCGTGTATATCTTTCAATTGACTAACTTTAACCTGCAAATTTGTCTGTTCCCAGCCATTTCTCTCTACCTTGTGTACAGTTAGGGGAAAAAAAACCCAAACAAAAAACCCCAACAAAACACCTCATAGACCCTAGGAGCATCCGGGAGCTGCTTGATCATCTGAGATGTTCATGGCAGAGTCATTTACAGAATCACAGAATCTTAGTGGTTGGAAGGGACCTCTGAGATCATCGAGTCCAACCACAAAAAAACCCCCAAAAAACACAACAACAAAAAAAAAAGACAACACCACCACCAAACAAATACAAAACACACCACACCAAACACCCACCAAAAACACCGCACCCACCAACTAAACCCCACACTCAACACCTCACCATAAACCAATAACCTTGGGCACTAGAGCAGGCCCTGAAGAGCCATGTCTACACATTTCTTCAATCCCTCCAGGGATGGTGACTCCACCACCTCCCTGGGCAGGCTGTTCCAGGGCCTGACCACTCTCTCAGGAAAGTCATTCTTTCTAATATCTAATAGTAGAAGCTGTGGCTGCCCCATCCCTGGAGGGGTTCAAGGGCAGGTTGGAGGGGGCTTGGAGCAACCTGGTGTGGTGGGAGGTGTCTCCCTGCCCAGGGCAGGGGAATGGAACGAGATGATCTTTAAGGTCTCCTCCAACCACAACCATTCTATGTTTCTATAGCATATTGAGCACAAGACCTGCAGAGTTCTCCTCCAGCTCCTCCAACTTGCCTTGCTCCATAGTTAGTAAGCAGAGATGGGGAAACTGAAATGGTTTCTTGCTAAATGTTATGTAGTGAGTCAGTGGCAGAGAATGGAGATGAGAGGCTAAACACCACCCAAGAGCACGAAAAGCTGATCTTCAAGCATTTGAGAAGCCAGTTTCCATGTACATCTTTCAATTGACTAACTTTAAGCTGCAAATTTGTCTGTTCCCAGCCATTTCTCTCTATCTTGTGTACAGTTAGGGGAAAAAAAACCCAAACAAAAAACCCCAACAAAACACCTCATAGACCCTAGGAGCATCTGGGAGCTGCTTGATCATCTGATATGTTCATGGCAGAGTCATTTACAGAATCACAGAATCTTAGTGGTTGGAAGGGACCTCTGAGATCATCGAGTCCAACCACAAAAAAAAAAAACACCACCCAAGAGCACGAAAAGCTGATCTTCAAGCATTTGAGAAGCCAGTTTCCGTGTATATCTTTCAATTGACTAACTTTAACCTGCAAATTTGTCTGTTCCCAGCCATTTCTCTCTACCTTGTGTACAGTTAGGGGAAAAAAAACCCAAACAAAAAACCCCAACAAAACACCTCATAGACCCTAGGAGCATCCGGGAGCTGCTTGATCATCTGAGATGTTCATGGCAGAGTCATTTACAGAATCACAGAATCTTAGTGGTTGGAAGGGACCTCTGAGATCATCGAGTCCAACCACAAAAAAACCCCCAAAAAACACAACAACAAAAAAAAAAGACAACACCACCACCAAACAAATACAAAACACACCACACCAAACACCCACCAAAAACACCGCACCCACCAACTAAACCCCACACTCAACACCTCACCATAAACCAATAACCTTGGGCACTAGAGCAGGCCCTGAAGAGCCATGTCTACACATTTCTTCAATCCCTCCAGGGATGGTGACTCCACCACCTCCCTCGGCAGGCTGTTCCAGGGCCTGACCACTCTCTCAGGAAAGTAATTCTTCCTAATATCTAATCTAAACCTCCTCTACCCCAACTTCAGACCATTTCCTCTGCTCCTGTCATTATTCCCTTGGGAGAAGAGGCCAACACCCACCTCTCTACACCCTCCTTTCAGTCCTCTTCTCCAAACTCAACATGCCCAGTTCCCTCAGCCTCTCCTCATAGGACTTGTTCTCCAGGCCCCTCCCCAGCTTGGTGGCTCTCCTACCTCTGCTTGTTCTCCTTCATGTGTGGTCCTTTAAAGGACTCTGTTTCCTGCATCAGCACATGGAATGCCAGCTGAGCAGACTGGCAGGGAAACCATTTCCTGTGAGAGAAGGGGAGATACCTGGGATGGTGCCTGAGCTGCAGAGGATGGCTCTGTGACCTGGATGTGCTGCACCTGGATAGCGTGCTGTGTGTACGTCTGGGGGTCATGGAGCTGCCCAACGTCCACCGTGGAGTGCTGGGACTGGTGAGGTGAGGTAGCCTGGAAAAAAAACATACCAAATCAGAGGTGTATACTTAATTCTTTGCAGAAGCAGCCAATAAACCTCTTCTGGGACACAAGGACTGGGATAACAAAGTATAAGCCTGTGGCAGAGGCTGGACTCAACTCAAAGGGTCTAAAAAACAAGGATTAGTGTCAACCACTGGACCATCCTTCTCTGTAATCAGCTTTCTACAAAATTGTGCACATTCTCAAAATCTGCATAGCCAATACCATAGTTTGCCATCCACATAGTTCAGCATCAAGACAAGTGCTCAGAATCTAACTGATTAAAGGCTTTTTTTTGAGCAACACCTGCTAACGGTACCGATTGGAGTAATTTAATTACAAGTCTCACATCTTGATAAAATTAATATTAGAGGCAGGAATCCATATTCACGCTTTTGTGTCATTAGAAATGCCACAGTCAATATTAATTGGGGCCACTGTTTAGGCCTTTATTAACCAAATTTGTTAATTTGATTTGTAATGAGGGACCAGAGAGAACACGGAATCTCAGATTCAAATAAAAACACAGAGTAGTTTTGGCTTCACCCAGTGGATGATGGATTTGAAGGCTGTGGCAATGTCTTACAGCTGCCCGAGTTGTTTTCCTCAGCTCAGTTACACTCTGGTATTATTTTAAGGAGGCTGTTGAGCATCACAGAGAATGAATATTCTAATAGACGACACGGAGGGGAAAAAGCAAGAGCTTTCTCTACTTCCAAATTTCAGCTCTGGCTCGCTGAGAACAAGGAAGCATAAATTATCTTCTCAACTGCAAAAACGGGTCACCCACTGACCCACTTTCCCAGTTGCTGGAAAACCTTCCTAGAGCAGACTCGAGCAAAGGTAGAAGTAAATTAGAATGGTGTTGCCATGTCTCCAGCAGGCTCACCAAGACTGGGGGGACTAATTGTGCCCAGTACACGATGCTTATGATGGGAAACCTAAGTATTATCCATCAATTTATCTGTAAAAAAATAGTCCTCACCACTTTTTTAAAATTATTCCTTAAATTTCCAAGGGCTACAGCCCCAAGAAAGCACAGGCTTGATACAGAGGGGGCCGAAAAGCACATGGAGCCCCCACAGCAGGTTACTCACCTGGGCCACTTGAACCACCTGCAGCTGTATGTGCTGGGGCTGCTGCAAGCCAGTGGTGGCCTGAGACACTGGGATGTACTGGATTCGCTGGTAATCCCCCTGGGGGGTCCGATAGTCCGTCGTGAGGGTCTGGGATATCTCCGTCATCGCTTGTGTCAGTAAGTCTGTTGTCTGAGAAAGAGAGAGAAAGACCAGCATTGTCTACTGGGGCTGAATGGTTTTGCAGGGCTGTAGTGATACTTTTATTGACAACTGCATTTCTAAAGAATGTAAAGACATTTAGCACCAAAAAAATCAAGCATATGAAGCCAACATCCACCCCTCTTCAAGAACAACAGTCTTTTATCCAATCACCGTCTTTGAATAGGAAGTTTAAACTGTGATTATTAAGTTTTTTTAAAAACTATGGAGCATCCCAGCACCACTAGAGGACACAAGACTGGTTTTCTAGTCTCAGCTTTCACTTCCTTAGCAGAGATCAGCCACTGGAGGTTCATATGGCTCCGTTCTGCGCTGCCCAAAGGATTACAGAGAGATTTTGACTCCTCCGAACAGTTTGATCCAGTCCCCAGTCATCCTTAAACGTGTCCTCTTGATCCCAAGGAATGCAAGCACCTCAGGAGAGGTTGGGGGATATGGTGTAGGGGAGAACTTTAGAGGAGGGTGGATGGCTGGACTCGATGATCCTGAGGGTCTCTTCCAGCCTAGATAATTCTGTGATTCTGAGAACAGTCCCAGTGAAAATCCAGATGTGTATTCCCAAGTTAATTAGGCATGTGCTGTTTAACATTTTTATCAGTGATATAGACAGGGGGATTAAAGGCACCATCAGCAAGTTTGCGGACGACACCAAGCTGTGTGGTGTTGTCGATACACCAGAGGGATGGGATGTCATCCAAAAGGACCTGGACAGGCTGGAGAGGTGGGCCCAGGTGAACCTCATGAGGTTCAACAAGAGCAAATGCAAGGTTCTGCACCTGGGCCGGAACAATCCTCACCACCAATACAAACTGGGGGGTGAGGGATTGGAAAGCAGCCCTGAGGAAAGGGACTTGGGGGTGCTGGTGGAGGAGAAGCTGGACATGAGCAGGCAGTGGGCACTTGCAGCCCAGAAGGCCAATCCCATCCTGGGCTGCATCAAAAGCTGCGTTGCCAGCAGGTCCAGAGAGGGGATTCTGCCACTTTACTCTGCTCTGGTGAGACCTCACCTGGAGTATTGTGTGCAGGTCTGGAGCCCTCAATATAAGAAGGACATGGACCTGATGGAGAGGGTCCAGAGGAGGGCCACAAGGATGATCAGGGGGATGGAGCACCTCTGCTACGAGGACAGGCTGAGGGAGCTGGGGCTGAAGAAGAGGAGGCTCTGGGGAGACCTTACAGCAGCCTTCCAGTACCTGAAGGGAGCCTACAGGAAGGCTGGGGAGAACCTGTTTAGAAAGGCCTGCAGTGACAGGACGAGGGGCAATGGCTTCAAGCTGGAGGGGAAGAGATTTAGACTGGAGATGAGGAGAGGGTTCTTCACTGGGAGGGTGGTGGAGCACTGGAACAGGTTGCCCAGGGAGGTGGTTGAGGCCCCATCCCTGGAGATATTCAAGGAGAGGCTTGACGAGGCCCTGGGCAACCTGGTCTAGTTGGGGGTGTCCCTGCTGACTGCGGGGGGGTGGGACTAGATGGCCTTTGGAGGTCCCTTCTGGCCTGGGCAATTCTATGATTCTATGTGGGGAAGCATTACGTGGAGCACAGGGGCCTGAATTAAAGAAGGGAATGGAGTAGGGAAAGGAGACAAATCCTTAAAGCTCTAGAAAGAAATACTAATTCCTGGCTGAGCAAAACTAAAACACACAATTTCAACAGAAACCATCTCAAATAATGTCTTAAAACACACTTTAAAGTGATGTTTGCCTAGTAAACACTACGACTAGCACAGCAGAGGGTTCCTGTGCTGTTGTTCCCCTCTGTCAGCCTGATGTAGGGTGTCTGGGGTCCTTACCACGACGGTCTCCCCGGTGGTGCTGTCGGTGGTGAGCACAGCAGGAGTGGAACTGATGACAGCGGTGGCCAGCGGGGCGTGGATGGTGTTGGGGAGCTGAGCAAACTCCGGGTGCTTCTTGCGAATGTGTTGGACCATCTTGGTCTGCAGAGAGATGCCACAGAGCGTGAGGAAGACGGGCAGCAGCTCTGCTTTGGGCTGATCACAATCAAACAGCCCTGAGGAACTGCAGCTTTTAAGTCACCCTCAACAGGGCAGCACCAGGAGTCACACTTTGGGATGCTCTGGTCAGCACGAAGGAAACACGGGTCACAAAGTTCCTGCTGATCAGAGCTATCTGACACTGAAACACTGCCCCAAACATCACAACCCCTATATTTTTACCCCAACACAGCCAAATATTTGGGCTGCTCTTTCTGCATTTTGTTTGCCCACTCCTCCCACTCCCTCGTCACTGTCAGTGAGCGCTTTCCAAGCTTCTCCATTTGTGACCGCGCTCTGAGAACATTTCCATTTCTTCTTTCAAGTTCACACCCTCTATTTGGGGAACCATTTATGACCTGGACGAAGGGATGGAATGTACCCTCAGCAAGTTTGCTGATGATACAAAACTAGGAGGGGTGGCTGACACACCAGAAGGCTGTGGCCACACCATGAGACCTGGACAGGCTGGAGGGTTGGGCTGAGAGAAACCTGATGAAATTCAACAAGGGTAAGCGTAGGGTGCTGCACCTGGGGAGGAATAACCCCCTGCACCAGGACAGGTTGGGGGTGACCTGCTGGACAGCAGCTCTGGGGAGAAAGACCTGGGAATCCTGGTGGACAACAGGATGCCCAGGAGCCAGCAATGGGCCCTGGTGGCCAAGAAGGCCAAGGGCATCCTGGGGGGGCATCAGGAAGAGTGTGAGCAGCAGGTGGAGGGAGGTCATCCTGCCCCTCTGCTCTGCCCTGGGGAGGCCCCAGCTGGAGCACTGGGACCAGTTCTGGGCTCCCCAGTTCCAGAAGGACAGGGAACTGCTGGAGAGGGGACAGCAGAGGGTTACAAAGATGGTGAGGGGCCTGGAGCATCTCTCTGCTGAGGAAAGGCTGAGGGACTTGGGTCTTTTTAGCCTGGAGAAGAGAAGGCTGAGGGGGGATCTGATGCTGTGGCTGTGCTGTCAGCACGCAGCAGGAAACCAGCCCTCTGACTGGGAATCAAAGAGCTCTGCTTGAGGATTGACAGATGACAGAGCCCGTGGAGAGCCCCTACCTTACTGCTGTACTGCTTGGAGCAGTGAGGACAGCAGACCGGCGGGGTGGCGATGGTGCCCGTCAGCTGGGTGTGGGTGCTCAACATGGGATCTGGTTCTCCAGGACCCGCGGGGCGCAGTTTTCGGATGCTGGGAGGTAGCTCAGCACCAGGATGGTTCTTCAGGATGTGAGCTTTGCGTTTGCTGGCGCTCTTGTATACCTGCAGGGTAAAGATTTGTGGTGAAAACGGTGCCATCCTGGTTTCTGCCCAGAAAACAGCCACCAGTATCTTCATCTGGAAGGTCTAGGCGTTGCTTTAGTCAATATGTTTAGTTAAATCCCTAATTATAACATAATAGACACACCCCCCCCAGTGTTTAATCAACCTGTGAAGGCAACCCCTTTTTCTGGAGCAGGCAGAGCCACTTGAGAACACGCTGGGTCACAGTAAGGGAAGAGGAAAACCTTTTTTGCCTGATACTTGAATTCAAATGTCAGAGAAGGCACTGATCACCAAAGTCTTAATTTCTCCAATGTTAATTTGTTATGAGGGTTGACGCCTCCACTTTCACCCAAAGCATCAAACAGTTTTTATAGGGATTAGTGAACACTTATCACCACATTTTTAAATTCTTTTTAGGCATATCAACATACGAATATTGTGTAATATTATCATTAAATGGTTTGGGTTGGAATAGACCATAAAGATCATCTCATCCCACCCCCTGCCCTGGGCAGGGACATCTCCCACCACACCAGGTTGCTCCAAGCCCCCTCCAACCTGCCCTTGAACCCCTGATCACCACATTTTTAAATTCCTTTTAGGCACATCAACATATGAATATTGTGCAATATTATCATAAAAATGGTTTGGGTTGGAATGAACCATAAAGATCATCTCATCCCACCCCCTGCCCTGGGCAGGGACACCTCCCACCACACCAGGTTGCTCCAAGCCCCCTCCAACCTGCCCTTGAACCCCTCCAGGGACGGGGCAGCCACAGCTTCCTTAAATAAACTTATTTATTATTTAAAACTATCAATTCTTTCCCCTTTCAACAACAGCCTTACGGAAGAATGTACTGAGGATAAGAAGAGTCAGGCAAAACACACTCCCTGGTAAATGCATAAAAATGCATAAAAAGCAAAAGCCAGGGAGTATGAACAGGAACCCAAAGAGCAGAAAAAGCTTCAGGTCCACTGAACACTGGGAATTACTGGCATGTGACTAAATAAACAGCTTAGAATCAAAGGAGTTAGAGACTAACTCTCTGAAGTGATACAGAAACCAAAATAAATTGGTTTTGAGGAATTATACATAGATAAGATACTTAGTCCTGGGTTGCAAGAAGTGATACAGGACGAAGGGTGGGTGACTGCTTAGTGCATCCCAGTATTTCAGTTTTACCAACTCCAGCAGAAAAGGAGACCTGCAGTTTTCCATCAGCATCCAGCTGCCCTGGCCCGAGTGCATTTCATCTTAATTTCTGCTGGAGAGTGCTGCAGAAACATCTCTGGCAAACACCTCAGAAAAAAAAAACAAACCCTACAAACCCTGGCAGGTGTTTCTGTGCAGAGACAAATGGGTTGCATACAGGTCTAGGACTGAGCTTCCCTCTGAGGGGTGACTTCCTTACGTACCTTATCACAGTACTGACAGAAATAATCTCTGTTGGGTTTGATGATGGGCAACGTGAGCTCCGGCACCTCTTCTATTTTCATGTCTGGATGTCTCTTTGATAAATGATTCACCTTAGGAGAGAGGGAAGCAAAGGGAACAAGAGAGCATATTACAGATGGAAGCCAAGCTTCTCCTAGACGTGGATAACAGCCAAACCAAAGCTCTAATGATGCAGCCAGCAGCACTGGAAGCATTTGCTGCTGCAAGGGTTATTGTGCATTCACAGTCGGCTGCTGAAAGCAAACACTGTCTCACTAGATCCCATTTACAGCTTCTCTAATCAAAATAAGATGGGAAGGGGTAAAATAGCTTGCCAGAACTCTCACAGCTGAGAGTGAGGTAATGGAAGGGACCTCTGCTCAGGGAGGCAGAGATAACAGTCCTCACCAACTATTTGCAAATAAGATCTCTTGCTGCATAACACCCTGTACAGGGTGGCAGCGACAGGGCACGGCCAGGAGAGGCCTCTGGAGGGGGAAAAACAACAAAATAGGAAAGACAGTCAGGAAAACTGAGGCAGTGAGGCTGAATGAGGCAAGATATTCATCTCATGTTCGGCTAAAAATGTTACACAGCAATCGGGTTGAGAGATGATGGTGACAACCAGACATACAACACAAGGAATGAAACACAGAGAGAAGACACAGAGTTTTTAAAAAGATATCATAGAATGGTCTAGGTTGGAAGAGACCCTTGGGATCATCGAGTCCAACCATCTCCCCTACTCTACAAAGTCCTCCCCTACACCATATCCCTCAGAACCCCATCTAAATGTCCCTTAAACACAGCCAGGGATGGGGACTCCCCCCCCTCCCTGGGCAGCCTGTTCCAATGCCCGACCACTCTTTCTGTGAAAAATTCCTTCCTAATGTTCAATCTAAACCTCCCCTGTTGGAGCTTGAAGCCGTTCCCTCTCGTTCTGTCACTAATTACCTGTGAGAAGAGACCAGCACCAACCTCTCTACAGTGTCCTTTCAAGTAGTCGTAGAGAGCGATGAGGTCTCCCCTCAGCCTCCTCTTCCTCAAACTAAACAGTTCCAGCTCTTTCAATCACTCTTCATAAGATTTTATTCTCCAGCCCCCTCACCAGCTCCGTTGCCCTCCTCTGCACTCGCTCCAGCACCTCCAGATCTCTCTTGGATTGAGGTGCCCAAAACTGGACACAACACTCCAGGTGTGGCCTCCCCAGTGCTGAGTACAGGGGCACAATCACCTCCCTACTTCTGC